TCAATTTAAACTTTTTTTGTAACTCAAGAAACTTTCCGGAATTTTGACTTGGGCTCACAATCACCCCTGAATTCATAAAGAGCATTAAAAAATAACCAAAATTAAGTGTTCCTTTACTGGGTGTTCATTCACTGGTAAGAGCTGTTCCTTCACTTGGTCTTCTTACTACTTGTTATTTGAACCTCCAAAACTTTAAAACAATATTGAGTAAGTTCTCTACAATTTTTTTACATAATTTGCAATTAGTAACAAATATGTTCTGTCATTTAACTAAAATTACGAATTTTGAAATTAATATGATTTTTTAAAAGGCAAGCGAAGCTTAAGTGTTCCTTCACTGGTTAGTTTACCCTATGTAGCAAATATCAATCTATTAATATATTATTTTTAAAAAAAATTTTGCAGGGTGTTAATTAATCGTAATAACATCATAGCTAAATAACGGGATCGTCAAAATCACTTGGTAAAATGTAGAAATAATTGGGGGGAATTACTTATCCTTATGTTGAACTCAGCAAGAATGAAGCGTGTCAAATGCACGATTTAAAATTTGCATGTCGTAATGAAATTATTGGAATTTTTTATAATACAAAATTTTTTGTAATATAACATAGCAATAACTGCCGAAAAAAATCTTTGCAAAAAAGAAAGAATTGCAAAGAAAAAAAAAGATAAAAAATCACTTAGATTTAAGATGAAATCGTCACAAATAAAGTGCTCCAAAAAGTGATTATTTAAATCGACGATCTAAAACTCGCATCGTAAGAAAAATTCGGGATTTTCGAAATCATGTAGAAAAGCGGGGGAAAAAATCATTTATATTTACGATAAAATCGGCTAAAAGAAACAGTGTTAAACGGACATTTACTAAAGAATCTGTTAAAATTGATAGTGTCAAAACGTGTGAAATTAAAACTGTGATTCAAAATTGCCATTTTTTTAAAAAAAATTTATTGTGTTTAGAAGCTCCCGCGGGCCGCACTTCAGTAGTCGAAGGGCCGCATTTGGCCCGCTTGCCAGAGGTTGTGCACCCCTAATTTAATCATAATGCAAATCATTGCAATCTGCTAAGATATTTAAAAAAATGCAAATTAATATCATATCAAAAGTTAAGCACTAGTAACAAAATTGAGATTAATAAAATTAAAATATTCAAATAAAATCTCATTTAAATTTAAAAATATTTGTAAAATTATGCCTGCTTCACTTTTTTATCCTAATTAAAAGCACATTAATATGCTCTCAAAACAAGTCTTAATGTAATTCAATTAATATTTTCGAGTTAAATTGTTTGGAAGTTATTGTTCAAATTACAATAATTTGCAATTGTTTTACTTTTGATGTGAAGTCTGTTGATCAAGCGCTGTGACCTGCCTTGGAAAAAAGTGAGTTTTTTCGGGTGGGCCTACCCGAAAAATAATGGGCTGGGCTCACTTTGGCCTACCTTGATTTGAAGCCAAAGAAACAATGTGCTAAGTTAGAGTGCAATTGTGTTAGACAATTTCAATTAATATATTATACAAAATGAGCCATAATTCTATATTTTTATTTTGTTACAGTAATTATGGAAATTTTTCTCCTTATGTAGAAATTGTAAGCAACGAAGAGAAAAGCAAAAACTAATTAAAATATTTTGGCTTTTTCATACAGTTCAATATATTAGTTTTATTACTTTTTAATTTAAAATATGTAGGCTATTAAGCAACATAAATTAAACTTCAAAAACAAGAAAAAAGTAAAAATAATTTTGTAAATAAAAATATTTGGAAGTGCTTTTCATTAATTAAAAAAAGGTAAAAAGGCTACTAGTTAAAAAAAAAGAAAATAAGGAAATTAAAAATAATAAAGCTAAGATAACTTTGATTTTTACACTTGTTGATTAAAAATTATTTTTGATAATTTTTACAACCCCACCCCCCTTGTAACACTGCTACGTTAAAAGATGCAACTTTGCGAAATTTCTGAATGTGTTTAAATGATCACTTAATAGTTAAATGTGTTTATTGTAGGATCGTGCAAGTGATCCTGATGACAAGGATGATTTTATGACTTCAGAAGATATGCAAGGTCTAGAGCTTATTAGAATTGCTGCTGATAACAAAAGAATTAAGTGAGTATATTTGTATCCAAAAGCAAATTTCATCTTCTTATTAACAAAGTAAAATTACGTTAAAAATTTTGACTAGGTTTGTAAAATGTCCGAAAGTCACTCAATCTCTCTTCAAAACTTCTAGGGAAAGCAAAAAAAGTTGAACGTTTAAAAAATAAAAAAAAAAACACTCCTTTCCAATAATTTTCCTAATTTGCTGTTAACTTTAAATAATCAAATATAGCATATCCTATTTCACTATATAACTAAAATTTGTAAAGGCTGTATAAGTTTTCAGAATTATTTTTCTTTTGTCTGAAAATTAATAATTTATTTTATATGCATGGGTGCATAAATACTATTTGCTAACCATTCTTATTAATGAGTGGGGGGGAAAATAAATATAAAGATATTGGTGTGTGGGCCAAGCATTGCAGGTGAAAAACGATTATCTTATTTCTTTCTTAGTGAAACTGCATGGAATATTTAAAAAACAAAGTTTATTTTTAAGAAATCAATATTAAAAAAGCAACAGAAACTTTATCTCAAAAAAACCATTATAAACATTCAAAAAATGTCCACCTATTCTAATTTTTCGTTTAATTAACATTTAGTAGAGTTTCTTTTCACAATAGCTTTTAAAAGTCTGTCAATAAATGTAGCTTTTTTAACCCTTATTGTGTTATACTTAAATATATGCTTTATTGGCACTTGAGGTAATGTGCTAAAAGCTCAATTATGAAGACATCAGGCGCAAATGATGAGAGGTGATATTAAAACAAAGTTGTTTTCAAAGGCTGATAATTGTGTATTTAAATAAACAGGTTGATTCATTATGCCAAGTTTCACTGGATATGCACCAAAGGACATCATCACTCTGTTTTACTGTTCCAACTAAATTCTTTGGATAATCAATTTTCCTGCTTCATAATTTACAACCCAATGTGATAAATTTGTTTCCATCATCCTACAAAACATTATATGTTAGGCATCTATTTATCATCGATTTTGCAAAGTGAAGCCTCTTATTTTTCTCAAAAACATTTTCTTCAGGTAGAACACTCATTTGAGGAAGATTGTCTTGTGAAATTTGACCAAAATATTTTTTATTAAATTTTGCAGAAACTTTTACCAATGTGAATTTATGAATTTTTTTCACAAATTTTATAATTTTAATCTCTGATCACGCTGGTAGGAAGTCCTTCTTTTAAACTTTTTATCACATACTGCACAGATCACCGAAGTCAAGCATCACTGGCTGCGGTCAGTGTACGGGTGGGTGACCACTTGGATCAGTCTGCGTAGGGACCGAGGGTGTGCGGTATTGGTCCTCGTTAAACTGTTCTACCGTAAAGGGCTCGACTTCGCGTGCAGATCGTCGGGCTACCGAAGCGGGGGTGCAATCACCTCTGCGGAGGATCAAAATTGTGATAGCATGTCTTTGGATCATCCTCAGGGATGTTTCCCAGGCCGTCGCCATTAGCCCATTGCTCAGCTCTAGTGTGACGTAAATGAACAAAACAAAAAATCACATACTGCACAGTGGAATGGGACAAAATTAACTCATTTAGCAATATTAATACTCATTTGCCTCTTATGATGGTAAGTAATCAACTTTCAAATGCTCTCTTTTGTATTATAACGACTGCAAGCCATTTTTAAATGATTAAAGAAAATATAAAGTTAATGCGAAAATTAAAATGTTATTTTGTTACCTTAAGTTTAAAACAAATAAATAATTGAAAAATAATTAAAGAAATAATTTTTATTCTGAAATTCGTAAACATTTAAGTGTACAATAACTTTTTGGAGGTATTGATTTCTTAAAAATAAACTTTTCCTTTGTTTTTTAAGAGTTTTGCTAAGAGTAAATTATATGTTCTATTATTAAATATCCATTCTGGATTTTCAATTTTAATTAATGAGTAGAGCCCTATTTCAATAAAAGTCAAAAGTTTACAAACATTTTTGGAAGCCACTGTAAATATAAAAATTTATTTATAATCTCTTATAATTATTTTTCTCTTTTGTTTAATGAAAATATATTAAACAATACTTATCCAAGGTATTTTTGATCACTCTATAGTTTCTATTTGGTACACTTTACGCAAAAACTACTTAAAGTAACATATTAAAACAAGTTTTATTCAATTAAAACAATGTATTCTGTAAGCTAAACATATTAGTTTCTCCACATTTGTCTTTTTCAAAAATTAATGTTGTACCAAAACATTAAAAAACAAAATCTTGCTGTGTTGTTAAAATAAGATTAAAACTAACGTAAGTTGAAATTCCTTGTACACAAATGTTGAATTTTTATTTTGTGTTTCGTTTCTAGATATTTTCAGCACTCTATGAATTTTGTGGCATTTTAAAGACATTTAAATTAAAACTTAATGCCCTGCAAATTAAAAATAAATTATTTTTTTTACATTTTTTGAATGAAATTTAAGGTCACTTTGAATTTGCTCAAATTTAAAAGTAACGTGTGTGCAGGAGTAATATATATTTGTTGAATTTCAGACGCCAAGAAGAAAAAAGTCCGTCTAGAAGTAATGAATACATGCTGGGTGGCAATGATAGAGAATTGCCGAGGCACGCGAAAAAGTCTGAAGTTGGCATAACTATACACGTTGATGATTTTACATGATTTCTCTCACTTAATTATTTACCTATAAAGATCTGCTTCAAACAAACTGTTCCATTAATATAACAAATTGTTGCAATTTTTCATTTTTAAAAATTATATTTTTTTAAAACTTAGTGTATTTTGATAAAGAATAGCTGTTATTTTTACAATTTCCCTTCTCAACTGAAAATTGCAGAATTGAATCATTTGAACTAAATATGTCTTGAAATGGTCATTTGTCTAAATAAGCAAAGATCATTTTATGTAAATTGAATGCTTCCTAGTTTGTTGAATCATTTTTTAAAATTTCCTCGTGAATTTTGAAATGCCTGTAAATTGTTATTTATTCGATCACATAACTGGTGCTAATATTTATTATGTAATATATGATTATTAGTTAAAAAATTTTAAATATTTATGTGTTTGAGTGATAAAATGTTTCCTTTTTAAGTATTGATTAAAATGTTGGTGCAAATTAATCATTGTATGTTCTTTTTCTTGACAAGGTATAAATGTATGTGTGTAAAGAGTTATCCAGAATGAGCTCCATTCACTCTAATTACTTAAGCCAAAAATTAACTTACATAACCCTGGGTAAATTGACCTTATGTTGTTTATTTTTGGCTTTATTACTTGTATCCTCCATTTTTTTTTTTTTTCTTCCCCAAAAATCTTTCTGCAAATATATTTTGAATTGAGTGGGGATTAATGTAAATTGATTCAGGGTTCCCACAGTTCAGGGACAAACTGGAATTGTTTGAGAATTTTGTTCCAAAGATCAGAGAAAGTTGCAATTTTTTTTTTCAAAAAGTAACCAGTCTTAAAATTGTCTGTAACAGTAGTCAGTTATTGAGATTCGAGTTAAATAATTCTTACATCTATTACAATTATTTGTCGTAAAAATTTTCACATTTTGAGTCAAACTGAAATGTTCCCATCCTCATTTAATAATTTTTTTTTACACTGAAAATCTATTATAATATCAGCGCATTATTGTTATTCATTTCACTGAATATGACTTCATTATATTTTCTCACAAAGAAGTGCTTAAGTTACTTCTATAGATGGAACCCATTGTATCTATTAAAACATTAGGACGACCAACATTTTTCGAAACCGATTCTTACCAGCAATAATTGAAATCGTAGTATTGCAGATAAAATTATGTAAATGTTAAAATCATGTTTTAGGTTTGTAACTGTGAAAAAATTGTTTATTACATATTGTTGGCAAATTTTTAAATTACTACTGAAATTGTGTTAATTTTGACAATTTTCGGAACTTTTCTAATTTTAGTCTGAAAATCCAGAGAAATTTGGTTTTGCCTGGAGAGTGTTTGTTCTGTTTTTAAAAGATTACTTTAACATTTTTAATGCTTCTAAATGTTTTTTATATATATATGACAGTTCTTCTAGCAGTCTATCAAAAAAACTTTGTAGGAAAGGTTATAATTCAGGGCTACCACGGGCGTCTAAAATGCAACTATTTTCAGCCTGAGGCGAATATGGCAACTTTTTTTTACCTGAAAAAGCGGGGGGGAAGTTGCTTCTAGCTATGTTTTTTAACATAAATTGGGTTGACAACCTGCGGTCCGTGAGAGCTTCTGAACAGAATTTATTTTTTCTTGAAATGTAAAATATGTTGAAAAATTTATATTGCAAAATTGTGTCATGACTTTTCAATGCACTCAAGTTTCTCGGATTCCATCTTAAGTCCATTTTGTTTCTCGATTGCCTTTTCAATGGTTATTGCTACAAAATTCTGCACAATTTTGAAAAACCCAATTTATAATACGATATTACGATACAGGAATTTCAGATTTGAGTAATCACTTCTCATTATGTATATATATATGCTAAAAATGTTTAGAATTTTTTTTTAAATAAAAAGGAATTTTTTTAATGAATTCTAGTAATTAAAAGTGTTCTGCAAATATACTTATTATTTTGATATAAAAATTTAGTGCTGAGAACACTAACGTTTATATAAAAATTATTATATTTTTAACTCAAACCCACTTGACTAAATGGTTCATGGTATAATATGACAATTAAGTCATTTAATAAAGTCATTTTATTTTTAAAATCTTATTTAGGCAACTATTTTTTGTTCTTTTTTTTCTGTGGCAACCCTGATAATTCTAGGTAGGTTAGGGTAACAAAAATCTTTTTCTGTGACCATTCATTGGTAGAAAATGAAGTGAGGTTATTTAAGTGTTTGAGAGGATAAATGTACTCAATCACGAGAGGGGTTAAAAAGGGTGCGTAGCGTTTTTAAAAAGTTCTTAAAGGTGTTTATTTTTGATTTACGTTTTTTAAAAGCCCTTAAACATGTTTTTTATTTTATTTAGGGTTTGTAAAATGTGCTTCATTTTCTATCTTTTAAAGAGATATTTTTTTCTTTGCCGTGTCGAATGTCGTTCTAAATTACAAAAAATTCATGATTTTCACAATTTTCTCTGCAATATTTACCAGAAAATAGTTCTTTTATCATGATAATGTAAAGTTTTTAAAAATTGTTTTCAATTTTATTGATTTTATGTTTATAAATTAGGAACTTTTAACGATTGAAAAAAAATCTTTCTTATTGCTGTACAGATTCTAATTATAATTTTTTTTATTTTTGGAAAGTGTTTAAAAAATACTTAAAAGGTGCTTATTTATTGTTGAAAATTCTTGCTACGCACTCTGTTAAAAAATGTGAATAAAATAATTTAATACGTTGAAAAAGAGATGTTCCTGTTTAAAATTGCTTAGCAAGTCTGCTAATTTAAATTTTAAAAGTTGGAGTGTAATAATTATCCCTCCATCTCTTATCACTATTTAAAATTCAGGCTAAAAATTTCATTTTTTTTTTTTTATCCCCAATAAACTTTGAAGGAAAATCATTTCAAGATATGGAAAAAATCAACCTGTATAATTTTAGAAATATTGTACTTAAAGAAGTTATGTTTGGTCTCAAAATCATGCAATTGGTTGTTTTGGGTGGGCATTGTATATTTGGGCTTGTTTATGTTCCGTTTTTATGTTACAGAACCTTAAATGATTGGCCTTCTTTTTTTTTTCTTTTTTTTTCAAAACACTTGACTTTATTAGTAAGTAGGATATCAAAGAAAGACCACAAATTATTTTACTTTGTCTGAATTTATATCATCTTGAGCTGAAAGTTAATTATAATTTTTGTTGAAATTTGTTAGAAATTTCGTTGAGGACTGTAATGATAAACATATATTTTTTTAAATTTCTAAAATAGGTCACTTTAATTTGATTGGAGAAGTTCAATAGAAAATATGAAAGCAAGTTTTTATGACATTCATATCATTTTCATAATTTGTTCTATATAGTTTGAGGATTTTGTCTTTTTAGAGCTCCGCTTGGATAATTTTAAAAGTACTATCTTACCTTCTGGAAATAAAATAATTGAAATCTTGGATGTTTTTTCTCCTGCCAACTCTCTGATTGATTGATTGAAAGAGACTCTCTTCAGTTTACATGTATAAGGTTCTTACTTATAAAACATGCCATAAACACTTATAAAACATGCCACAGAACAAGGGAAAGAATTTCAACTATTTGAGAAATTTTATTTTTTATCAAAATAGGGAGAGAGTCGAAGAAAATGAGCAAGTATATAAGATTTATTTTTTTCCAAAAAAAAAAATTTTTAATAATTTTTTTAAAGAACAATTTTTTTAACCTTACTAGCAAGTATAAATGTTTTAGTATATATTTTAAGTATAAAATTAGAAATTAACTACTATAACAAAAATCAGTAAAATTTGATAAAAATCAGGGAAATTCTTGATTGTTTGTGGCCACCCTATTTGTTTGTTTTTAACTCTTCAAATATTTTTTTTCTAATGTTTTGCAAAATTTTAAAATTTTACAACATTCATAGCTGCCAACACAGATAGAGAAATTCGGTAGATTTTACAAAATATAAATTTCATGATAATTTTTGCAAAATATACTAAATATTTTACAAATAGGAAATTTTAGGGATTTTTACAGTCATCAAAATAAAATAAAAAACTGCAATATTTTACAGTTAAGTTTTCACATTGAATGATCTTGAAATGTTGCGTATGATGTTTATTCATAATTTTGAATAGTAATAGGAATTTAATTCATCCAAAGATAATGAACTGAATTTTATAAATGAGGCTCGCTTCATTATGTATTAGTGGTAGTTGTTGGAATATTTGAGCCAACAAGAATCTGCACAAAAATTCTATTTCAATAGGGATTTTTTAAGGAAGCTAACTCAAATTTAGGGAATTTTCTAAAATGTGCAAAAACTGGGAGAATTTTTATGGTAGACCAGGCAGAAACTGGCCAGTAGAGTTAGCAGCTATAAATGTTATTCTTTCTTTACTTCCCCGTTACTGTATCCCTCAATTCCTGTTGATCAGTTAGCAATCTATTATATGAATTGAAATTTTGTAATGTAAATTTATATATTTTCAAAGGTATCTCTATAATAGGACTATCTTATGCCTTATTATTGACATTGTTGTACAAAGAAATACTTTATAAAATATGAAGAAATGGCAGTTTAATATTAACTTATAATAAAAGGATGTACATTTTAAAAATACAGAATAGATTATTTTTAAAATTGTTTGTAAATATGTATAAAGTATTTTATAATACTTCTGAACTTTTTGTATTGAACGTTTAATTTTGAAAACAAAAATAATTTGCACTTCTATTATTTTGTTGGCTGCATTGTTTCTAAAAAGTGAGTGCCAATTGTGATATTTCTCTTTCTTTCAACAGAAATAAACATGTGTATAATTATGTTTGTATTATAATTTATTTTTTTTATTTCTTATCCGATTTCCAGATCTATGTGTACTAGCTTGATTGGGAAGTAAAGGCAGTGTACAAAAATACAAGGCATGTTAACTCGATTCTATGATGGGGGTTTTTTTTAATAGTATTTATTTTACTGATATTATATTTGTCAATAACTTGACTTCGTTTGAATCACAAGTTTAGGTGAGGAAGTGATCCTTAAACACAACGTTCATTCTCAAAACGAAGTCACATGAGTAATAAACTGGTTAGAAATAAGAAAAGTCACTAAATTAATTGGGAGGCAAATCAAATCAGGATACAAAATGCATTCACTTGAATGAAACGAAATGAGGTGATTGTGTCAGGAGTATTTTGATGTTATCGAATGTATGTCCAAGGTTCTAACACTGTGCAGAAATAGATCATTTATCGATGGAGGGCAGAGCTCTATGTAACCAGGGTGTCATCTCGTGGGCCACTGATGACGCAAAATGCTTTTAACATTGTAATGAAATCTTCTGTTTTTTAAAAATGCCCTCCTTTTCATTAGATGAAAAAAATTATTACAAATGTTTTATTATATAAAAGTAAGATTTAAATAGTACAATGGTGATGTTCCAATGCTAATGGGTGTACTATTATCACCCATTTTTCAGTTACGTTCGTTGAAAACACTCAAATTTAACCAGACGAATTGTATTTTGATGTCAGAAGCTGGTAGACAAAAAAAAAGAGGGGAAATACCTCCATAGCAATTATGTAACTGCTACTAATAATTCACTTTGGGTCGTTGATCCTGATTTTAATGTAATTGAATATTTATTTGAATGAAATTAAATATTTTTTAAAAATAAAATAATATTAATTAATTAAGGATATATTTAAAATTTATGGAAAGGACTTTTCTCCACTTCTTGCTCTTAAACAAAATAATGAGTTTTAAAATTGTTCTCAATTTCAATAATTCGACTTAATGTATTGTAATATAATACACACATTATGCATGGTGCATAGCGTTTTTAAATGTGCTTATTTTTGATTTTCGTTTTTCAAAAGCCCTTAAATGTGCTTTTTTTTATTAGTGCGCTTTTAAAATGTGCTTAATTTTCGCTTTTCTATTGGGAGATTTTTTTTACAGTGTCGAGTTTCACTGTGTATTATACAAAAGCATGATTTTTCACATTGTTCTATTCAGCTCAAGTCATTTAAACGTTCGGCGTAACGTATGATAGCGCCAATCATATAACATGTTTGACGAAATGAGTCCGCATGATGTTCATCTACTGAGCTGGAGAATTTTGTTCAACTCTGCTGCATTTTGCCTCCATTTCAGACTTCATTTTCCACCTTCTGATATCGAACCAAACAATCTCTCGATCTTTTTAGGGTGGCTAATATAATGAAGAAAAAGAGTTATTTGTCAGAAACTAGTTATTTTATCATGATCCTGTAAAAATTATTTTGTTGTTGTATATAGTGTTTAAAAATATTTTTTGAGTGTTTAAAATGTACTTTAAAGTTGCTTATTTTTTATTCAGAGATTTGGCTACGCACCCTGTTATACTTTTTCAGTTATATTTTTAATTTATCTAGAGAGGGATCTTTATAATAATACTATTATATATTGTGTAATGTAAGTGCATTAAAAATTTATTCAAACTTTACGTAAGCATATTTTTGGCAAAATTGAGATGCACGCAAAAATAAGCTCTTTCATGCTTCCATAAGAAAGTCTCTTCAATTTTTATTGTAGTTAATCTAATTTTAGGATTGAATTCAAACAAAGATTGTTAACTTGGCACAAAGCAAACGTTTTCATTAATTTTATAAAATTTTTAGTAGAATATTATGTAATAATCTTTTTTTTTTCTTTATTAGAACTTAATGACATTTTGTAAAACAGATTTTTCCAGCCCAGACTTTCTCATTAAAA